GTATCAATTGTCGGACCACCGGGAACATTATTTCTATTTTAGCTATTTGTGATTTTGTCCACTTGTAATCTATCTATTGCAATATTTGACTCTTATGCTGAGATTAATGAAGGTAAATAATAAGTGGTAGAATTATTAATATTGTGATTTTATTAACAATTGTAAAAGAAAAACTAACTCCCTTCTCCACCAAAGCCAATGCTACTTATTGATTGCTTTTGACCACACTTGATCATTATAACCATTGATAATATCACATGATGTATTTTCCCTCTAGTTTTTTCTCAATGTTTCTAGTCAAAGTGAGATTAATGTATGCATATTTGTCCTAGATAGGAGAAGGGCAATATGCTCACTAAGTGTTTCATATTTCTACATTTGCAGTTGTATAGTGTTTTTCACATTGGGATGACACCTCAAAATACTTCATATGATTGATTGGGAGCCTGAGCCTGTGTGTGTGTGTGTGTGTGTGTGTATGTGTATGGGAGGGGGGGGGGGGTGAAGAAGAAGGTGAAGGGCTTACGGTAGGTTATGAAGGTGCAGGGAATGGGCAAGTGGGAATTCCAAAGACTGAAAGCAGAGAAGCTGAAAGCTCACCATAAAGCAGGCAGGTGTTTACAGAGCAGAGGGAATAGCTGGGACAGTAGGGTCACCAGAGAATGCAGAGGTAGGGAGGAGTGAGACTTTGGAGAGATTTGTCTTATAACCTTGTTATGGGTCACAACTCTTCAATTCTAATTATTTCTTATGCTCATTGCACGCATTTAATGCAGTAAATGTGAGTCTTCTTACAAGTACAAACGATCAGATTTCCCTGACTTTCAAAAACTTTCCTTTCTGAAAGACCTTAAGGCTGTTTTATAATCCAGTCCTAAAATGGATTACTAGCCCACGCCCAGGCATTCTTGAAATAACAAAATCAATGAGAACTCAGATTTTAGCAACTGCTGTGATTCACAGTGCTTAAGAAAACAATTTGAAGGTGTAACTGTATGTAACTAATGAGCATCTCAAGTTAAGCGCCAAAAACACCCAAGTAATGCTTTAATCTGCTTAACTCTTTCACTGTGAGTAACGAATATATACTCAGAACTGCGGGAAGCATAATTACTTTCTGGTGGTGTCCACGGAGCCACAAGTAGGCCCACAGTCTGTCTGCAGCTCACAGTATAATACCAAGCCAGTGTCCATTAATGAGTTCCTTAACCATTCAGGCCAGTGGTGGAAGTGGTGTGTTTAGAAGCAATACTTGGTGTTTTCCAGTGTTTGAGACTTTGTAAAGTTAGTTAAATGTAGAAGTGAATGGAGGTTTTGAAATTAAACTATCGAAGGTTTAAATACATTCAACATTAGAGAAACTTTAATATCTCACAACAAAGGAAAGGACGTTCAATATAATACAATACAATTTACACTTCACGTCAAGAGGACATCTCAAAGCATTTAGCACTACAGGTTGGACAACCGAGCTGGGGGTGGGGAGGGGGAAAATGATCCAAAGCACAGTCAAAGAGGTAGGTCGAGAATAAGTAAAAGAGATTTGGATTTGTTGCTTGTTTTGTGCACCCTGAAGTAATTTTTTTGTTTTATTGAATTAAATCAATAAATAATATTCCAAGATATACATTAGATCCTTATTACACCAATTTAATGCTGCATAGCATGATGTATACACCACCTAATATGAATCTCAGATTTGAAACATTATGAATTATATTTCACAGAAGGCTAATTGATAGTTACTGTTGCAGATGACTATTCATTTTAAATTACATTACTTTCAAAACGTGGAGTTTTAAATTGAAATTTTTGACGCCTAAAGAACTTGTAGAATGCTGGTGGAATATTATAAACTACTGTAAAAAATATATTTTGCAGGAAAAATGGGTTTTTAGCAGCGGTCAGTTGCACTGCAACTCAATTATATTTGGTGGTGTGGCAAGAACATCTCAAATCAAATTTATATTAATCCATATATGAGCCCATCTTCACAATAAGTACAATTGGCAGTTTGAAACTCCTTCAAAATCTTTGCTATGACTTCATCTACTCCTGCACCTTTAATACTCTGAATGTGGGCACAGGGAGAGGTAAGAGGGAGGCAAGGAAGAAGAAGCGGGAAGGAGTCAGGAGCTATAGCTTTACTACTAATCTATAGGCATTGATTACCTCTTTGACCAACTCGTTAAATTTATCTAAAGCTTTCACCATTCCAAAATGATAACGTGTTTATTTTGTGTCACTGAAAATAGACATCTTTAGAATGTTTCTGCCTTGTACTCCCCAGTGACACAGGAATGTGATTTTTACAAGGATACCAAGTGATTTTTACACTGCACCCTGGACTGTAAACTAAACCCGAAGAATCAAAAAATGCTCACCAGAATCCAGTGCAAAAGACATTTCCTTTGGGGATTAAAAGACTGTTTGAATACTTGTATAGTACAGAAATCTTGACATCTTTGCCAAAAAGTTAGGCAAATTTCCTTACTCCACATGCCATAGCAGTAAGTAGGTACCCGGTTGTTAGTCGATTGGCAGATTGCTTTCCACGGGTAATAATCACTTAAAAAAAATTAAATAATAATAATTTGGTCACTCTAACCACGACTGTTTGTGGGACACTGCTGTGCGCAATTGGCTGCTGTGTTTCACCCACAAAATATTCAGTCAATTCACTTTACGGTATACTCTGTGATGCGTTTTGAGACATCTTAAAGATGTGATAAGGCGCTATATCAAATGCAAGGATAATTATTATTATTATATCAAGTTTCTCACATTATATACTGTGCTGAGGGTTTTAAAGGAAAAAAGATTCTAATCTAGTTTGCCCACACCCAACAACAGTGTATTTTGCAATAAGACACATACAGTTGTCAATCACCAGTCAGTGAGTAAAATTGTCTTTTTTCAGATTGGTGATGTATGTAACTTTTATGAGTCTATTTTGTAATTAAAATAATAATAATTTTTGCATGTGATATACTGCCTTTCATATTGGGAGGACTTCATGGGAATAATTATGAAGTGTAGTGTTGGTGTATTTTGTAGGTGTTGATAACTGCAACATAGGGGTGAGGTAACGTGTTATAACAAATACCTAACAATGTAGCAGCCAATTTGTGCACAGCAATATGCAACAAACGGCCATGAAGTGAACGATAACTTTATCTGGAAGATTGATGTTCAGAGCACGGGTAAGAAATATTCTTTTTTTCAATACTAGCATATTGGTTAGAGCACTCGCCTCGCAAGCGAAAGGACCTGGGTTTCATTGTCAGGCATGTCAAACGTCAGGCAAGTTTCCTTACTTCACATGCCTAGCAATAAGTAAGAATGTGGTTGTTAGTCGATTGGTGGATCGCTTTCCTTAAAAAAAATTGGCAGATTGCTTTCCAGGGGTAATAAATATTTGGTCACTCAATCCATGACCGTTTGTAGGACATCGCGATGTGCAATTGGCTGCTCCGTTTCGCCCACAAAATTCATTTGATAGTGTATTCTGCGAAACGCTTTGCGACTTCGCAACAACTTGATAAGGCACCATTTCAAATGCAAGGATTATTATTAATCCTATAATTTCCTGGGATGTTTAACATCTAACCTGAGGGTTGGCACCTCTGACAAGGCAGCTCTGCCCCAGTACAGTAGCGGAATGTCAGCCCACACCACCCGATCCAAGTGAGAAACAAGTGTTAGTGTCTCCAGTAGTTATGGTTTCACTCATGGCATCAAAAGAGGGTCATTGTCACACACGACAAATCAAAGTCAGATTATTGCAGGTATTCGTTCCCCTCACAGTTGAGATAACCAGTAAAATAAATGTCAGAGGGTATCTTAAAACGAATTTCAAATCTCTGGATTTTTCCAGTCTTTTCAGGTTTGCAGTCCAGACGTTTCTAATAATAAAACATGAAAGGTTAACTATATGGAGTCCTGTAGCTCAGTGGTTAGAGCACTCGCTTTGCAAGTGAGAGACCTGAGTTCAATTCCAGGCAGAGGGCGAAACCTTGGGCAAGTTTCCTTACTCCACACAGAGCCTAATAATAATCCCTCCAAAAAACCAAAAACAATAATAAATTGGTCATTTTCAATCTACGACTGTTTGTGGGACATTGCTGTGCGCAATTGGCTGCCGCGTTCGCCCACAAATATACAGTCAATTCACTTTACAGTGTGTTCTGCGAAGCGCTTTGGGACGTCCTCCCGACGTGAAAAGCGCTATATCAAATGCAAGGATTATTATTATTATTATTATTATATGCAGCAACGACAGACACACACACAGACACACACACACACACAGACAGAGTGAGCGCGGTACAGAGAACATCTTCAATTGATTCGCGTTTATTTCTGTTCATTGACGGTGGTTGGGAAGCGGGTGGAGCTGTTTTGGTGGGTGGGGACGGGCTGATCGCCTTTGCATTTGCTTTGTAGAAAAAAAAAGAGCAAAACCACAGTGTCTGCCTTTACGAGGGCTGTGTTTTTTTCCCTCCAGCTGCATGTCACTGATTTATTCCCTGGCACTCACGTCCTCCCAAACCCTCTCGTTTTCCCTTTTGCACTCGCCTTTCTTTGTTGCAGACGAGACTACCTTAAAAAAAGCACACGATGTGGAAGTGTCCCTATTGGATATCACCTAAATAGCAGCTCAGATGAGATCAGCTCCAACCCTCCCTCCCTCCCTCCCCCCAACCACTCCGTCTGCATCCCACCCCCTCTCCATCTCCAGTCCTCTCCCTAGTTATGCAATAGCCTGTTACACTGTCTGCTTTTCAGCCCTCACCCCCCCCCCCTCCCCTCACACCCCCCTCACCCTCACCCACACACACACACACACACACACGACAGTCCCCGCCCCCCATTGCTGTGGTGAAAGCCCCCCATTGGCCGCTCGCTGCGCTCCTGGCTCCCTGATTGGGCGGAGTCGGCCGTCAGTCTCCCCGGCAGCCCCGGACTGGGTTGCTCGGCGGCTGTGACCTACTAACACACATCTCGGGCAGAGCATCGGGAGCCGTCAGACAGGCGGGGCTGAGCTGAGCTGAGCTGAGCAAAGAGGCATCGCATCGGGAAAAAAAGGGCAGCAGACGAGAGGAGCAACATCGAGAGACAAACCTCGCCTTGCAAAAGGGGCTTCTTTTCGCGACCACCACGCAAAACAGCTCCGCGTTTTGTTTTGTTTTGGGCGTTTTGCTGCTTTTTGGAGGTAAAAAAAAAGCTGCTTTTTCTTTTGGGGGTGTGGGGGGTTATTGTTATCGCTGTGCGTGTTTTTCTGGCTGTTGTGTGGTGTGTTGTGTGTTGTGTGTGTGTGATGTGATTTCAACCGACTCCCATCTGTTCCCCAAAAGGCGTACAGCTCAGCTCCTCAGCACTCACTCACTCACTCACTCACTGTACGTCCTGGTATGACGAGCAGTTTATATCTCTCTCTCTCTATATATATATATTCTAAAAATATATATAAAATGTATTTGTGTAGTAAGGAGAGCAGACGCTGAGCAAACCACCGTATTATGTAACAGGGAGGGAGGGAGGGAGGGAGGGAAGCATTGCTGTGCTCTGTAGTGAGGAGCACACCGATTGCTTTTTTGGATGCAGACAATTCAAGAGAGAAAACAAACACATAAGTTTATTTTTTTTTAAAAAAAAGAAACGCAGTTGGGACTTTCAAGTCTTTTTTTTTAGAAAAAAAACACAACGAGTCGGTGATGTACGTGGCAACGCTGACCCACTCCTGCGTTTAATACTCGACAAACCGGTTGGTTTGGGGGAGTGGGTGAGTGAGTGGGTATATTATTCTCATTCAGTGACAAATTCCTCTCTCTCTCTCTCTTTCTCTGGAATATATTTTATACGGCATTATTGCTTTGTTATTTAATAGGGGTCGGTCGTCTGCCCGAAGAGCACATTCTGTGCTTTGCACTGTAGGGTTTGTTCTTGGAAGCATTGCATAATATAACCATTATAAAATGCTGTCAGTGCACAGGGGCTGAATGCGCGCTTTTGTAATCCTTGGCATTAGGAAATTGGGACACTGGGGCAGTGCTATGTCTCTCTCTCTCTCTCTCTCTTTTTAACCCCCTCCTTTATCTTTAAAAAAAAGGAGAGCGCAGATACATTTAACTCATTGCCGATTAGCAGTGTTGGAGTTAGATCACTTACGTTGGTTTGGATCAGGACAAAGATTCTGCCATTTCTATCACCCCATTTTCTTTAAAAAAATGTATATTTTTTTGAGGGGGGAATCAGTGTCTGCATTGCATTGCATTCCCTCACGACCTTGTGTAACAAGCGTTCACGTCTGTTTTAAACTGGTGCACAGAAATGTGTCATTCGCTGTGTCTGCGCTGTAACCATTTCTCACCGAAAGACCGATCACGTCTGTAAGAAAGAGAGAGAGAGAGAGAGAGAAAAAAATGTTGCATAATTGCGATCGTGTCAAAGGGAAAGTCAATGGAACCGCAGATGGTGCAAAACCTTCAACTGGTCAACTATCACCAGTCTCGCAGAGCAGATGGGGGGCGATTTTAAGAGGGGGGAGAGGGGGGGGAGAGGGGGGAGAGGGGGGGAGAGGGGGAGAGGGGGGGGGGAGAGGGGGAGAGGGGGGGGGAGAGGGGGGAGAGGGAAGGGGCGAATGCAAACCTATTAACTCTGGTTAAGCTATATGTCGGTCTGTGGATCTTTCCAGCAATCGCGCAGAGAAGCGAGTGCTAATGCATTCGAGTTCTAGAGGAATTTAAGCGGATCTTAATATCCTCCCAACGCACACACACACACAACACAACACAATAAACACAATAAACACCAGCAGGAAAGGTGCTGCTGTTTCTATTTCTTTTATTTTTTTAAAAAGTTTTTTTTTCCGAAAAAGAATTAAAAAACAAACAAAGCCACAAGGCGGGGGGGGGGGGAGTGTGTGGGGGGGGGGGGAGTGTGGGGGGGGGAGTGTGTGTGGGGGGGGGGAGTGTGTGGGGGGGGGAGTGTGTGGGGGGGGGGGGGAGTGTGTGGGGGGGGGGGGAGTGTGTGTGGGGGGGGGGTGTGTGTGGGGGGGGGGAGTGTGTGTGTGGGGGGGGGAGTGTGGGGGGGGGGGAGTGTGTGTGTGTGTGTGGGGGGGGAGAGTGTGGGGGGGGGAGTGTGTGTGTGTGTGGGGGGGGAGTGTGGGGGTGGGGGGTGTGTGGGGGGGGGGTGTGTGGTGTGTGTGGGGGGGGAGTGTGGGGGGGGGGGAGTGTGTGTGTGTGTGGGGGGGGGAGTGTGGGGGGGGGGTGTGTGTGTGTGGGGGGGGGAGTGTGGGGGGGGTGTGTGTGTGTGGGGGGGGGAGTGTGGGGGGGGGGGTGTGTTGTGTGTGTGGGGGGGGAGGGTGTGGGGGGGGGAGTGTGTGTGTGGGGGGGGGGGGGGGGGTGTGGTGGGGGGGGAGAACCGTGTGGTTTGCAGTACAAAGAGAAGAGAGAGGAGCAGTGCTCGAGTCCGGCTTTGGCATAAGGCAACACGTGAAGAGAGACGGGACAGCGTTGGCATTCCTTTGTTTGGGAGTGAAGGGAGAGAGGAGAGAGCGAGTCTGAGTGAGGATGAATCAGCCGCAGAATCGGGACGGATGCTGTTTCAGTCACGTATCCCTCTCTCTCTCTCTCTGTCTGTCTGTGTCTCTCTCTCTCTCTCTCTCTCAGACTCCCACTGTCGCAACCCCAATAAAAGCGCCTGTTATGCACAGCAGCAATTGCAATATTATTAAGCAATCACTTCGGGGTTGGCACATCCCTCAAGAACATTTCACCAGCACAGGCTAACGTGATCAGTCAGGGATTATTTTTTTCCTTCTTCTTCTTCAGGCGACGTGTTTCGAGAGACTTTAAAGGTGGGGGTGGATGGGTGTGGGGGTGGATGGGTGTGGGGTGGATGGGTGTGGGGGTGGATGGGTGTGTGTGGGGGGGGAGAGGAGCCTCTTGGCTGGAAATCAGATGAGAAAGATGACATCTCCCTTTGCTTTGTTGGTCAAAGTTTCAGATTTTCCCCCTCTCCTCTCTCTCTCTCTCTCTCTTTAAGTTGATTTTTGGGATCAACAGAAAGGAGTTTCTCCCCATGTGAACCCCTTCCCCCCTCCATTCCCCCCCCCCCCCCCCCCCCCCCCCCCCCGAGAGAAAACAACCGGATCGTTCATCTCTTTGTGGGACATTCGCCCAACAACACAGTCACTACACCTCACAGAGAAACATAAAAAACCCTCCGAAGTCCTTCTAACGACGTTCAGATCTGTTAAGGCTCTCTATCCGTGCGAGGATTATTTATTGTTAAGCAATAGCTCAGTTGGTCCAAAGGCGGTCCATGAGAGTTTGTGTTTAAATTGCAATTGGAAATGTATTTAGTGGCGGCTGGTTGTGACCTGTGATCGGAAATGCTGGATTTTTGCTGTCCTCCCACCCACCAACACAATCAATTTGATTCAATTTAAGTGTGTGTCTGGCAACAAGTTAAACCGCTTTCCATCAGCAGTGGGTTTAAGTAATTCAACAACAACAACAACAACAAGATTCCATTTATAGAGCGCCTTTCACGTCAGGAGGACGTCCCAAGGCGCTGGTTCAGCGGTTTATAAACCTATACACTGTACAAGTGATATCAAGCACATTCCCACCAGAGCACTTGTGTACAGTATAGATGTAACACTGTATATAATCATATTTGTTGCCATTAAGTATATTGCAGTGTTTAAAATGTGTAAGGCCATTACCATTGACCCCCTACACCCACACACACCTCCCCCCCCCCCCCCCCCCCCCCAACTTGTGTTGGATGGATAAGTAGGTCATTTGTATCATCGCTTTGTTTTTCTGGTCGTTGGCAATTTTGCTATCAACACAACATAACCTCCTCTGGTTTGAATCTCTGTAGTGCAGGGTCAGTGCTTGAGGCGGCGCTGTGGTTCATCTCTGTACATTTTGTTATTCAATATCTTTTTTTTAGATATGTATAAAGGGGAAGTTATTTGTTGATCCCAATATCATGATCGTGCTTTTGACATTGTAAGAATTATCTGAACATGAAGGGGGGAATGAAACCATTAAGTCGGAATTAATAGCTGCATTATACACAATTTCAGAAACAGTACTGACATTGAGACTGTAATGTAAATTGTTGCTGGCAATTATGAGGTTGGACGTAATTCAGAAATATTGCATTTCAATACAAATGAACACTTTATCTGGCTTTGTTGGTCAGTAATTGTCCTTACAGATGTATTTATTCACGTGCAGCCTAGAAGCTTAATTATTCATCGGTGTGGGACAACACAGCTGAGCTCGAACATGTTGTTACCCAATGCCCATACTCTTGCATTCTCAAGAGTATAGAAATCAGGAGCAATAATCCTTTTCCTATGTAGCTCAAGGACACTGAGACAGATTGCAGCCCTCTGCACATCCACCCCAGCTATGATCAGCTGACATTACAGATTAGAGATCAAACCATATATTTTCCTAGTTGGTATAGTGAAACGCAGCCCCTCCCCACAGCCCCACCACCATCATCATCAAAGGGATATTTATTATGTAAGTTTTATGAGGGTTTTAAGTATTTAAAATTCATTTTTTTAAAATAATCATTAGCAAAATTAATGAAGGGTCCCAACAAATTGGCTGTTTCACTGCAAACATGTATTACTGAACCAGAATAATGCGCCAACCACTAAAAGGGAAGGTAATTAATGTACTATTTGATTAAATGTTAAATTACCTGTGACAATAAAAAACATGCCAGCAGTCGGTACCGTCTCTTTTAGTGTTTGTATTAATTAGTAGAACTTTCTTTATATAACTGAGTGACAATTTTTTTTTAGCATAGAATGAAAATAAATTTGATATTTCAATGTAGAAAGTTGCCAAAGAGTTTTATATCTTCGGATTTTTCAGTTCTACCAAAAGTGTAATTCACAATGAAACTTTCAGTATGTGTTATATGCTGACAAAAGCGCAGATGAGATTTTTTTTGTAACCAGATTGAAAGCTTTTGTCAGCATATAACACATACTGAAAGTTTCATTGAAATCTGAAATTATTTCAGTGTTATTGTTTTAACATAATTGCTTGTGTACCAGCCATTATACATGAAATAATATTAAAACTAGAATCAAAGTCAAACCTGTTCCATTTACAATTACTGTGATCTTTTATGAGTAGATGAAATTCAGAAACTTTGTACATTTTGTCAGGATTCATTAGATTGATTGTCTCATCGGAGCTTTTAATAATTCCAGAGGTTTCCGTAGCTGGATTGACAAACCAAATGAGGTGTTTTTAATTCTTTTCTTTGTTGAAGGAATCTTCCTGAAGATGTGAAAGAGTTAAAACTAGCTGTACCCGACCTGAGCTAACTGAACGTGCACAAATTACAAAAACAGCTCAGTTTTACCCATATCAAATAATAATCATTGAGCTAATTTTTCTTTCCATAGAAGGTATGAAGTTATGTTAATTAAAAAAAGGCTTTTCATTTAACTAAGTGCATTTCAGATTAGATTAAGAAGTTTGCTTCAAGAAAACATCTTTCACTTAGAGAGCAATATTTTAATGATAAAGATATTAAAGTTCATTTGTGTGTGCTTAGAATGAATGTAGCATTGATGTTCCTATAAATATTCAATTAGATTTTGCAAATAAAGTAATAGAAATTGTTGAATCTTTTAAATTAAGGTTTTATGGTTGTTTGAAATGTTCTCTTTGAAAACCTTAATAAGAAAAGCATGTTCTGAATGCTGCAAAAACAGTTCAGTTCTGCTCAAATGTACTCCGCAGTTGAAAATGGTTATACAAATACTGAACAATGTTTGAAATTTGTATCCGTATTTGAAAGTAGAGAAAAACAGTATTTCTCCACTGCCATGCCAGCTGCCTTTTAATCTGCAGTAATGGGGGAAGGAATGATTTCCAGTGCTTTGTTTTCCTCCCTGACCCAGTTTCATCAACATTGTTTTGTCAGTGGCAATAAGCTCACTGTCATGTTTGACATGGCTGATTTGGTGCAACACTGCATCGTTCAATTATGTTTTATTTAAAAGGAGAAAAANTTATTAAAAAAACAGTCACTGAAATGAGAGCAAGGAAACATTTATTTGGAAATGTTTGAGAGGATGCTGTGAATCAGAATAGATTTGTGGCAGAAAGCCTGTTTTAGCTACAGATTGCTATTTCTGGTAAAGGCAATTCGTCACCTAGCTTTGTTGGTATTCGTCATTATGAACATGTTCTTTTTAAAGTGTTATAAAATTATAATTAATCTTAATAAGTCTTCAAAAAATAACAACACGCAAATTTATTACAAATTTCTCAAGCCAATAGTATTGAATAGCTGGGCTGCTGAGGTTGTACAGGGCTTTCTCTGCTCTCATGGTGTTAGTCATACATTTTGCTCTGTTAAGATTAAAAAGGAAGTTCAAAAGAGTTATGATTAAATATTCCCTGTCTGATACAAGACATGAACCAGTTGTTCCATGAGTTTAGTCATTTTAAAGCAAATAATTTCCACCAGTAATCACCACTGGAGTCAACAATACAGGATCAGAGTAGGATTCAGGCCCTTTGAGTAATTTACCAACTTGTGACTAACAAAACCAGCATTTGTTGATCACGTGTGTTTTCCACACACAAAGCTCTCAATAACCAACTGGCTGGTCATTGAAATATATCAACCAAAATAATATTACACTGACAGACAGAGTGCTTTACTCTACGTCTTCCTGTAGTATCTGACCTGGAAGAGTTTGATGCTTATGTTGGGTGACAAGGCTGGAAAAGTGTTCCATTTCCATGCACTACCATCCCCTCGCCTAATCATGAGCACAAAATTACACAGAAAAACAAAATAATTCAAAGTGGAGAAAAAAGAGAAATTTCTCTCTACAGAATTGAGTGTGAGGTATTTTCTGTCTAGAATAAAACATGGATAGAAATAACACTACTATTCAAAATCTAAAATTTGTACCTGTTTTTGTAAGTCGCACAATTTGCTGCTCTGTCACTGGAGATTGGCAGTTACTGTATAAGGTATGAACTAAAACCAGGTTCAACTGCCTTGTATTATATTATTGCAAAATCGTTTGCACTAATGGTAAAAGTAGCTTTGGACTTGCTGCACGTGCTCCATCAGAAGCCGAGCCTTCAGTTCCTATGCCCCTAATGTCGTGAACTCCTTCCACCACTCCATCATTCTGTTTAAGTCCTGCCACAAAACCTTCCTCTATGAACTATGAACATCTCTCCACTTGGCCTGCATTCTCTCAGTCCTTATAAGTACATCGAGGCATTATCACACTGGAGGTCGCTATATAAATGCAAGTTATTGTCGAACACATAGCTTTCATTCGTTAGTGGCACAAACACTGTTTTCTGCCATGGTAAATCTGTAGAGCAAATGCAAATTAATATTGTTTAATTTCAAAGTGATTCATTTCTGATTCATTCTTTTCAGATTTTCAAGGAGATTGCAGTCTGATTGAGACAAATGCCATTCATCCAGATGCACTGAATACACAAGTAATATTGCAAGCATTGTCCGAAATACTATTGAAAATTTGCATAAGTGTCGGAGACTAGATTACACTGCATGGCAAAAATTTGTACAGAAAAACAGATCTATACAAATGGAAGCAAAACTGTCTTCAGCAGTGATTGAAATTAAATAAAAAACAAACACATCCCTCTCTCCACCCACCCAAAAGAAAAATACAGTGTGATGGAAGATCAAATGCAAGTAATCAAAAATGAACATACACTGGTTGGTTCTTGTATTCCTGGAGAACAAATGGTAGGATTAGCTCCTTCTTTAGAAAATATGGCAGACACTTTTTCTGGGGATGACAGTTTGCTGAGTGATGACATGACCAGCGTCTCTCTCAAGCACAAGTCTTCGAGTTGCCGCAGAAAACGGGAGTTCATACCTGATGAGAAAAAGGACGCTTTGTACTGGGAAAAAAGAAGAAAGAATAATGAGGCGGCCAAACGTTCTCGTGAGAAACGGCGTTTGAACGATATGGTTTTGGAGAACAAATTAATGGCCTTGGGTGAAGAGAATGCACGCTTAAAATCAGAACTTCTTTCTTTGAAACTGAAATTTGGTTTAATAACCGCAGCGTTCTATGCCCAGGAGATACAGAATGTCGGGAATTCTTCAGGGCCGTGCTTTCAAGAGTACACAGCCTCCAGTATAAACAGGATTTCGTTCCCTGCTGACCCCGAACATAATTTTATTGGAAACAGCTGTATTTCTGTCATTAAACATTCATCACCGAGTTCGTTGTCAGATAGTTCAGAAATATCTTCTAATACTGGGGAAAGTCCCCTTCTACAAGGTACATGTAAAAGTCCAAACAGCACCTACAAGGCTGTAAAACAAGAGCCTGTAGAAATCAAAGTGAACTCAGCTAACTGTTTGAGAGAATCAAGGGAGGATAATAGTTCATATGTAGGAACTGTATACAGGAACTATATTGGGAATACATTTGGTGGGAATTACACCCACTCACCACCTTCGCTACAGATTGCTAGGTCTTCAAGTAGCTCACCAAGAACATCAGAAACTGATGAAGGCACAATGGGAAAAAACACATCTGAGGAGGATGGAGAAGATGAACAAAGAGTACCGAAGGGACCAATTTCTTCTCCTGTAGAATCCAAAATTGTTGTTAATGCTATAGTCAAAGTCCCTGAAACAAACTCTTCAGCGCTGCCTCACAAGCTTCGGATCAAATCTAGAGCAATCCAGATAAAAATTGAGAACGTTGAGGCAGATTATGTAACACGAGAAAAACTAGCAACATTTGTCAAGGATATTTCCACTCCAAGATCTTATCCCTTGGACAATGCAGCAATGTTTGAATGCAATGCTTCAAAGACAGCACATTCTTCTTTAGCCCCTTTGTCTGTTCAGGTTGCAAGCATCAATGACTGGTCTCACAAACCAGAACACTGGCGTCCAAAGGAGAGTGAGGAGAAATTGGAAGAGGGATATAAAAATATTCTTGCGTCATGTTCTCCTGTTGCACTAACAAACAAACCCTTTGCTGTTATCAAGGACTCTGCCTGCAATAACGTCCATCAAGGAATACACTTTGAATCAGAGAACTTGTACTTGAAACAGGGTATTGCAAATTTAAGTGCAGAAGTTGCTTCACTGAAAAAACTAATAGAAAAGCAGCAAGCTGCTGCCTCGGACTCTGCTAAAAGCACTACTGAGAAAAGATTTGCTGATTAAAACTTGCCAATTGATGTAGAGTAGTACGTTTTCTATTATGCTAAGTTTCACTGGAATTGTTTTGTCATTTCACTGTAGTTAAATTGTGACTTCTTGCAAAATGTTCATGTATTGTCTGAATTGTACATTATGAATCTTGTCTTTTGTGGGCTCAGTGATATATATAGGTTTTACTGTCTGATTACATTCATGCCTGTAATTTCAAACTCATGATACAAGGTAATGGATGAATCTTCCATCGGATATTGGAAAGTGAAATGTCAGATACAACAAATTAAACAGTTGATGAGTATGAGACTTTGTTTGATCTTTTTATTGTCTGTTCAGCAAAATGACAAAAACCTGAGTTTAGCTTTTATGTGGTCGATTGTAACCAGTGGCTTCAATACTATTAAAGCAACCAGGGCAGGTGGTTTGACTGGAAACACCCTCAATAAAAGTGTTTGATGTGAGATATTTCGAGCGTAAGAATCTTTTGGAATTCCACATTTTCCATTAGAACAGTGGGGGTGAGATTGAGAATAGAAAGCTAAGGAGCTTCAATACGCATCGGAGCTTCAATATGCATTGGAGCTTATTTCTTTCACAATTTGTGCAGTTCCTATTTATTTATTTATTTGCCTTGTGACACACATCTACATATTCAGTACTTTAGTTTGTTTGATCTTTACTTTTTTTCTCATTAAATTGAAGATCGCCAATGTGTTGGAACAGAAGATTTTCTCCACTTTACTCAGTAGGTGGAGGTGGGCAGGTACAGTTCAGATTCCCTTGGAGTAAAGTTGCTATGGCACTGCCTCCAGCAATATGTTTTCACACCCTACCTGCATCATGCTGTATATTACCTTTCTTCATTTGTACCAATGTACAGCATACCCCACCTACCAGGAACTCAGTTGAGATGGCACAATACTTTATTTCATTTTGATTCTTACAGCTGGTGCAAAGAAAATAATTTATTCCATCAATTTAGCCTAGATTAAATTCAAGGTCCCTTTGGTGAAAATATGGTGCACTAGCCTAATGTGCTAGATATTCATATTTTATTTTGCTTAAAAGGGGCTACAAATTGCAATTTGCGAATAAACATCAACAGTGGGATTTAAGCCATGTCAAATTTAATGAAAATTTTCATCAGTAGATCCCAGTAAAGAATATACTACAGGAAAAGTTGCATTCGATTGGCAATTTAAATTGATGGGACTGGGAAACAAATTGAAAATAATGGGATGGGAGAAAAAGCGGGAAATGGTTGCAGTACTCGCCTGAATTTGACACATCTACTATACCTTCCAAAGGCGTCTCTGGACAGAGATCAGAGACCTGATCATTTTGAAAGTCTGAATTCTGGAAGATTGTTTAACTGAGTCTTGATTTGGAAGATGCTTTTCAAGTTTCTAGAAGATTTTAAGACAATGGTCTAAAGACTAGGCCCTTGATTGATTTTGGCCCTCAGGTGAGGACAAGATCAACTTTGATGCTCTTCCTCCTTCCTCATCCACACACCCAACACAGCCAAACGGCCAAATCGTCTCCTAAAACTAAGAGTTCAGACACTTACATGAAGGACGACCACTTTGGGCAAGATACTGGAGGACTGGCTGCTGGTACCCATGGGACTACAATGCTGGGACAGTAATAATAATTCTTGCATTTGATAAAGCACCTTTCATGTTGGGAGCACTTTTTAAACCACTTCACGTAATTTGCTGTGATGTGTAACAACTGTATTTTGTAGGCAAACATAGCAGCCAATTTGCACAGCAATCTCACACAACCAACAATTTTATTGGGGGATTTTGGGCCAGGACACCAGAAAACAAATCTCTTTGAATATTGGCATGGGATCTTGAATGTCCATCCGAACAGACAAATGGGTCCACAGTTTACTATAAAAACAGAAGTTGCTGGCGAACTCTGACGAAAACTTAGTGACCTGCATTGTTAACTCATGTTCCTCTCTCCATAGATGCTGCGTGTCCTGCTGCATATTCCCAGCGACTTCTGTTTTTATTTTAGATTTCCAGCATCTGTGGTATTTTGCCACCGTTTAATATATCATCCAAAAAAATACCTCAGACAATGCAGCACACCCTCAACACTACACTGGAGTCTCATCTTAATCTATATGAGTTCAAAGTTCTGATGTGGGACTTTCTGACTCATAGGCAACAGTGCTACCAACAGGCTGACACAATGTAACTTTCATTGGTGTGTTTCTGTTTGTCTATGTGTGTAATATCTTTTCAGAGAAACAATTTAAAAGGATCCCAACACAAACGTAACTTGCAACATGAACTTTCTATCCATACATTGATTAGAAGAGGATTGTAAAGCAAGCACAATCATTGCTAAATCAATTGAGCAAAGTGTGGAAGATTCTTGAATTCAGCCTTAAATTGGAAGGTGGTTTTCTGCAGTTCTTAAGAAAAACCAGCTTCCAGATTAAATTTTCCAAAATTCTGCCCCATTTTAAATTTTAAGGCAAAATGATCTTACAAAGACTTGGTTAGATTTCAGGCCCCTCGTTTTGAGTATAGTGTAACTGCTGAGTTCTGTTTAAAGCACTTCCAGCATTTATTATCTGAACATAGAACTCTACTTTGCGGGAGAGTGCAGGTATCGTAATTGATTTGTTTTGATGATGAATATGAGTACGTGAAAAACTATTTGAACTTCAGCTCAATTTGCTTCATTTATTAGCTTCAAAGGGTTTCTATCACAGATAATTCTAAAAATAATCCTTGCATTTGATATACAACTTGAATATAGCACCTTTCACACAGGGTAGCGTCCCGGAACGCTTATTATCATGTAACTCCTTTTCATGTCATCAAGATGCTTCACAGGATTTACAGTACTATTAAGTGGTATGACTGTGTGTGAACACTACAGACAATTTGCATACACTGATGTCTCACAAACAACCATGAAATGTTATTGGTGGATTATTGGCCTGGACACCAGGCGAAACTCCATTCTCTTTTGAATAATGCCAAGAGATCTTTAATGTGTGCCTGGACAGGGAGATTGAACCTTGGTTTAATGTCTCATCCAAAGAACAACAACTGCATTTACATAGCGCCCTTCACGCAGGGCAGTGTCTCAGAGCACTTAAAGAACAACAAAATTACATTTGTAAAGCGCCTTTCATGTCGGGAGGACGTCCCAAGGCGCTGGACAGAGAGAGTTATGGACCCGAGCTGGGGGTCGGGGTGGGGCAGGGGGGAAAGCAGGGAGATCAAAAGCACCCTCGAAGAGGAGGGTCTTGAGGTGGGTCTTGAAGGTGGCAAGGGAGGGGGCAAGACAGAGGGACTGCGGGATGGAGTTTCAGAGGATGGGTGCAGAGTGGTGGAAGGCTCGCCCACCAATAGTGGGGCAAGCAAGGCGGGGGATGTGAAGCAGGCTGGATATGGAGCCTGCTGAGCGGAGGAAGAGGATGGGATGGCTCCTCTGACAATGCAGTACACCCACAGCACTGCATTGAAGTGCTAGAAATGACTATATAAGTTCCAAGGCCCGATGTGGCCCTTGAACCCACAACCTTCTGAATCAGAGGCGATAGTGTTACCAACTGGGCCAGAGACTGACACATACGATGAGTCCAAATCCAACCTCACAGTAATGTACAATGTCAAAGTCTTGAGTTTTAGATTCTGTTCTCAGAATGTGCATTCTGATTCCAGGAGTCCTGTAGCTCAGTGGTTAGAGCACTCGCTTTGCAAGTGAGAGACCCGAGTTCAATCCCAGGCAGGTCAGGGCGAAACCTTGGGCAAGTTTTCTTACTCCACACAGAGCCTAATAATAATCCCTCCAAAACCAAAAACAATATAATAAAATTGGTCATTTTCAATCAACGACTGTTTGTGGGACATTGCTGTCCGCAATTGGCTGCCGCGTTCGCCCACAAATATAAAGTCAATTCACTTTACAGTATGTTCTGTGAAGGGCTTTGGGACGTCCTCCCAACGTGAAAAGCGCTATATCAAATGCAAGGATTATTATTATTATTATGAGTGGTCTATCGATTTATTTACCCCAATTGATGTTTTTAGATTGTAAATTTTTTTAAACAAATCCAATACTGACGTCAATTTTTCTTTGAAGGTTTGCTTGGATAAGAATAGGAAAGGAGTGAATACGGTTTATCGTAAACCACAAATACTTTACAGAATAGCGGATCTTATCAATACATTTAATTAGTAATAATAATCAAAATAATTCTTTAATTTGATATAATACCATTCACGACAGGAACATGTATCAAAGTGCTTCACATAATTTATTGCAAAATGTAATGGCTGAGTATTATCTAGCCAAATGTGGTAGCCAATTTGCACACAGTAATGTTCCGCTTGTGTGTGTCTGTGTGGCAGCCAGTCAGGAGAGATTTGTGGCTCATAAATGAACAATGGCTATTTTGGTTAGTTATATTTGGGTGGAATGAGCAACCAACACCTGTGTAACCACACTTGAGCAAGGGACGGTCAGAGCTGGAGCACAGAGACATATGCCAATGGGGAGAAAGCTACACTACCAAAATGCTTTTTAAAGCATTAAAATGCTCATTTTATACAGGAAACAAACCATACTAAAGTAAAAAAAATATAAAAAAGTGGGAGCTGTTGGACTTTGCTGAATGGCTGCAGGACCTTGCTGAACTCAGCTCAGAGCAGAGGTCTTCTGAGTTGATGTGTTTGAAGTTCCCATTGGATGTACAGTTCATGCCACAAGTTCACATGTCTTTTTTCAGCAGCAAAACAATCATACTACTGCACTTTTGAGGAGCACTTTTTAATCTCAAGATTAATATCTTCCACTCCCATTTTCTTTTAAAAAGATAAAATAACAACAATTTACATTTATGTAGTGTCGTTTGCATTAAGAAGATTAGATTAAGATTAAGAAGATTTGCATTAAGCCTCTTAGTGGCATGGCTTCCACTATTGTACCAGAGACACAAATTGGGGTAAAGATTGGCTTCTGTGTTGGAATTAGGGGGAAACCCACAACTTGTTTACATTCTCCCAAGTATTGATTGTCATGGAATAAGATCAGGAACATTTATTCACAAAATAAATTATAGTCCAATTTGTATCTAAGTGTAGCAAATTTGATGATGTGCACTTGCAATGGAGGAAAATTCATGCAGTGTGCACTGTTGGAGTGATTCTTTATTGCTCCCAGCAGTGCAGCTGTTAGGAGCAGGAAAATAATTTATATTTCCATCTTTAAAATCTCTATTACAATTGGCTAAAAATACATGCACAACTGACAATATGCACAGATATCTGCTAACCATTGTCTGACATCAATTTGTTGTGAAATATTAAAGAGATGAGAATTCAATTAGTTCCCTGATAACATTAAGAAGATAGACTGCTCAAGACTCTGAAAGTTGTTTTTGAATCATTTGTAATACTAACTCTATTTATACTGCAGCCA